TTTCTTTCTATTTTTAGTAGAGACGGGGGTCTCGCTCTTGCTCAGGCTGGTTTCGAACTCCTGAGCTCAAACAATACGCCTGCCTCGGCCTCCCAGAGAGCTAGGATTACAGGCGTGAGCCACTGCACCCGGCTGTGACTGGCTTCTTTCATTTAGCATATGATTTTCAAGGTTCATCCGTGTTGGAGCATACATCAGTACTGCATTTTTTTATTGCCAATAATAGTTAATTACATGGATGTACCACATTTTGTTTATAAGTTGTCAGTTGATAGACATTTAAGTTGTTTCCACTTTTTAGCTGTTATGAATAATGCTGTGTACATTTGCGGAGATGATTTCTTTTTAAACTACTGCTTATTTGCCATATTAAGTGAATAGAGGTGAGGAGGATTGGGGCTAGCAGGAACATTGTCCTTTGATAGTTGTGAAAGTCATGTATTTGATTTTGATTTAATTTTTGAGAAACTTGCCAAGGTATAGGTGGGTGATTATATTTGCTTTTACGAAACTAATTGCCTTAGTTGTAAGTAATTGCATTTACTGCTACAGTTAATAGTGTTAATTTTTTGATATGCTGTAAAACTAAAATAAATTTTTTGATGTAGTTCTTAAAGCTTAATTTCCTCAAGAGGTAAAAGGTTATTTTAGCATCATTTTAATTTATTTTTTTTTCATTTTTCTGATATATTCAGGTTAAATTTCCATGCTCTTGATTAAAAATAGACGATGGGAAGGATTGTTCTACACTCTTATTTTCCCTGTTCAACCATTTTATTGTGGCTTTTATTGCCTAATAAAGGCTTCTCGTTGTTTTTAAGCCTAATATGTGAAAGAGCTAGCACGTGGCAAGCTTAGGTTAAGACTAAAAGGTACCATTTTCCAGAATGCTAACTTAGGCCAAAAGAAAAAAAAAAGGTAAAAGTAGATTCTCTTTTCTGAGAATTGCTGATTATGCTCTATTTTTGAGTATACTTATATTATCAAGTAACACTATAATAATATCTAAAAATACTTTTTTTCTGGGTCTTTCTGAATTTTCCACAAATAAAGTACATTTTAGAGGTAGCTGGTTATCAATTTTCTCATAAAGCCATTGCTCTAAGTGCCCATTTTATTCTATTAGCTATATAATTTGCATTTATTAAAATGTACTAATCTGGGTGATATTAGCAAATCACAAAATTAAAAATAAAACTTGTTTGTTGCTGAATAAAATAGAAACCAATTGTTTGCTTTTAACTTGGAGAAAATGGGAGATAGTAAAATTAAAAAGATCTTTATTGCTCTTTTATTGCAAAGTATATTTATCAAAGAGTACTTTTTAAAAGAGGATTATTAGATATTTTGCTAGTCTGATCATAATAAAGGCAATTTGACTGCCTATGATTATGATAGAATTGAGCCTACTTCCCCCCCATTTGATACAGTATAATAAGAAAATGAAAAACTATGTGTACCCAAAATAACTTAAAGTTGTTCTCAGGCCTTAGAGAATCTTATTATCTGGAAAGAAAGTATGAATATAAATATAGGACTTAAAAGCATACATTACTTTTTTTTTTTTCAAATATATCAGGTAGGCTTTTTTAGCTGTAAGCAACATAATCTGCTCTAGGTAATTTAAGGAGAAAATGGTATTGGGCACCCTACAGAATTTCTGGTAGGCCCAGGGAATCATATGTGGATAGTACATAGCCAGAAATAATGCAGCAGAAAAAATGCCACACCATATCACAGCAATGCTCTAACGGAA